TGGACCATGTTTGATGGATTCTAAAGATTAAGACCACCTTTTCAATAAACAAGTACAACATGAAGGGTTTTTAAAGCAAGATGTGGAATTCGTTTGCCAAAACCCTTTTCGCACTCTATTTCACTAACTAAATAACCAACTAACTATTATTTCTTTTTTCCAGATGATTTCCGTTAACCCGTCGATGGATCAGCAAGAGGAGTTAGTAGCACTACTATGGTAATATCGATCGGTACGATGGGCCTCGTGCCGCAGCCACATCGAAAAATTGCAACTTATCGTAGGATGTAAAGGAAAATCCCCCCCCAAAAAAAAAAAACCGCAAGGCGAAATTGCAAATAGAGGATAAATAGTTTAGCAAATAGAAGAGGAGAACCAGGGGTGAAGCGCCACCCCCACCCACCGTCACACAAATGAGGGTGCCACCAACAGGTTGACCACCAAAAAACACAAAATAAACAAAACAACGTAGTAATAAAAATAGCCAACCGCACGACAAATAGAAAAGGCAACAACAACCGAAACCACCAAGCCACAAAGCCAGCCACCGAAAGAGATAGAGTGCTAAAACAGAGCGAGAGGAGAGTGTGTAAACAAAAAAAAGGCGAAACACAACACACGAACACACAAAATTCAAAAAGAAAAAAAACACAGAAAACACCTAAAAGTCCACACACACCCCCTTTAAAACCACAGTATCCCGCTACAAAATGTTACAAAACTCGAACGCCGCTGCCGCAGCGCATTCGGCAACGCAGGCGGCCTCAGCGGTGGCGACTCCGGCAGCGGCGGCAGCAGCAGCATCGGCGGCATCCGCAGCAGCGGCAGCTGCAGCGGCAGCGGCGGCCGCAGCGGCCAACAACGCCGCCCTGGCCGCCTCCTCCATCCAGCCCAAGCTCATCGTCATCCGCCGGCGACCCAACCAGGGCTTCGGGTTCACGCTGCGCCACTTCATCGCCTATCCGCCGGAAGATGACCAGGCATCGGGATCGGCAACAGCAGCAACGGCGGCATCGGTATCGGCCAACTGGCCACAGGTGAGTAGGGATGATGGTTATAGTGGGTATTATATAATAGAGAATGGAGATAATATAGAAAATATTGAGAGTATAGAAAATATTGAGAATATAGATATTGAGGATATAGAAATATTGAGAATATAGAAAATATTGAGAATATAAAAAAATAGTACAAATATGGAAAATATTGAGAATATACAAAATATTGAGCATATAGAAAATATTGAGAATATACAGAATGCAGGGGATGAAGAGAACACAAATTATATATCTAATATAGAGAATAGAGAGGATATGGGGAATATATGTAGATAATATAAAGTATATCACTGTGCACGCCTGTCTACGTAGTGACGAAGCGCACCTGGAGAGTTAGAGAATACAATAGAGGGTACAGGATATAGGTTGAGGAGGAATATACATATATAGGTGCCGAAGTAAAAAAAAAGCGAATACACTTTGAAAAATAATTACCGTGAAATGCAGACATTTACCATAAAAAGTCAAAGAATGTGCCAATTATTGCAAACTCTCAAGCTTTAAATGAATAAATTAGGAAAACGCCCTGTGAAAAGTGCACAATTTAGTCAATTTAAGAACAACTTCAGGTTTAATGAAATTTTTTTTATTTGATAGAAATATAGTAAATAAGTTGATCTTACGAAGTTCATAAAACAGGTGGTAAAACTTGGGGGATTTAATATAGGATACAACATAATCTGCATTCTTGTGTAGAGTTTTGTAAAAGCAAAACTTAATTTCTTCATCATAGAAATGTCCTTAAAAGCATCAAGTTTAAAAACTATTGGGAGTTGTAGCGAAAGGACCATGCTATTTTTTTTTTTGTACATTAGCATTTTTGATCACAAAGTTCTTCCTTTTTTAGTCCGCTATATATTTTTACAAGCTTTGTAACTTATTTTTTTAAAACTTGTAAAACTCAATTGCCACTAAGGGAAGTGCAAGTGAGGAAGCGAGAGTGAACGACTCTCTTTTTCTCTCTTTCTGTCTCTCGCACTCCGCTGCGTCGCTGCCTCAGTTGACGCCGACGTCGGCGTCAGCGTTACGTGAGCGCTGCGCACGCGCGACTTATTCAAATTGCCGCTTTTGCTTTTTCTGCTTTCTTTTTGTTTTTCATTTAAGCGACGGTAATACCCAGCTCGAAAGTTCATGGGGGGTATATTGACTTTATTAAAGAAATACGCTGAAAGTACAAATTTAATATTTAAATGTGGTCGTCCTGGAAGTTATGCGTATATCATAATAGAAAAGTTTTAGATGCGCTTGCAAAATATGTTGTTCCAAATTTTGAAATTCTTCATAATATTTTCAATATCTTTCATTTTAAACTGCTAGTCAATCATAAAAAACACCATACCATTAAAAAATTATAAATTTACTGATAATTTTACTTGACCAAAGAAAATAACAACAAACCATGTGATACTATAATTTTTAAATATGTTGATTAGGGTATTCAAATGTCGTTAGGGCTCCCTTCTCTTTCTCTTTTATTTTTATTTTTGCACTAATTTGCGTTTTGCTCACTTCACTTTTTTGTGCCCGTTTTATTTTCATTTTGTTGATATTACATCCTCCGCTTGCCGCTCTTACTCACTCGCACACTCTCTTTTCGTCTTCTTCTTGACGCTCGCAAGGCGACTCAATCCAATCTACACTCTCCTCGCAAAATGTTGTCTCACGACCCACAGTCACGTTCGTATAAATAGGGGCTTGTTTTGTGTTCAGCTGCTGATTGCTTTTATTCCTAGTTATTTCATTTCGTCTTTAAAGCCACATTGTTAGTAGACATGCAGTTTTTTTTAAGTTTACCAGCTTTTTATCAAATATATATGAATAACTTTTCTGTTTCGATTCCAACTGGTGTGCAGATTTCCGCCAAAACATACATCTTAAAGATTCAACATTTTTTTTTTCGTTGCTATAAGTATTACAAAAAGATCTGACATTAGGATCAGAGTATGAACTTTTATTTTAAAACTTAGGGCCTACCTTTGCAGCGGCTGGTACTTAGCTCTCGCACCTCAGGCGTACAGCTGACTAACTCTTTTTTGTTTCGGTTTCGTTTGGTGTGTAGGAAGCCTCCAGTGCAGCGGGCAGCAGCAGCGGCAGCAGCAGCAGTGTCGGCGTCGCCGGGATCACCGGTTTGGAGCCAACGTCGCCGACGTCGCTGCCGCCGTACCAAGTGAAAGCGATGGAGACCATTTTCATCAAAGAGGTGCAGGCGAACGGACCGGCCCACTACGCCAACCTGCAGACGGGCGACCGCGTGCTGATGGTCAACAACCAGCCGATCGCTGGCATCGCCTACAGCACCATCGTATCGATGATCAAGCAGACGCCGGCGGTCCTCACGCTGCACGTGGTGCCCAAGGAGTGCGATGTCCTGCAGATGGTAAGCTCACCCAAAAAAATAGGTTCTCCAACTTGCCCACTTCCCAACTTCCCCCCACAGCCACCGGAATACCAAAGTTTTGTTGCCCAAAGTGTGTGATGATAAAAAAATGTGGTCATCTTTATAAGGTCTGACCTTAAGTCGGACAGAAAGCGGTATTTTCCAAAAAATGGCCAACAAATCCGGTGAATTGCATGAGCCGCAAGGGCAAGCTTAATACAAAAGTGTCGAGTCCAAAATATAAGAGCTCTTTTAAATATCCCGAACTAATAAAAAAAGATCTAATAAAAAGTGTATATCTCAACTGGTTAGATCTTAACTAGATAGCTTAAGAGGAATCGTGACTCACATATTGAAAATTTCATGATAATTATAAATATTTGTGATTATGTGTCCTTATTTATTGAATATCACTCAACGGGCAAACCGCTTTATTGGGCAGTTCAGTTTTCAAACAACTTTGGCAAAAACGATAAATAAATGATGGATTCTTGTGAAATCAACACATTTTCCATTAACCAGCGAGTTCAAACAGTGAATGGTGCTCTATTTTGCAGCAAAAAAATGCGTTTAGAAATGACAAGAACTTATACCAGTGACTAAAGTCCGCACTTGAATTATTAATTGGATGAATTATAGCTTCCTTGAGATACATACGTATATACATATGTACGAAACTACTAATTAAGAATGTGACTACTATTGGCATACACCCACTGACTAATTCGTCGTGTTGTATTATCATCTCTAACTTGTTTTCCCCGTCTTTTTACAGCACTATACGAGCATTGCCCACACGCCGGAATCGAATCGCCCGACCATGTCGACGCACTCGCCCTCGCTGCTGGCCAACGGCTCCCACAAGACCACATTTCCAGCAGCAGCAGCAGTTGCAGCACCACCGCATCAGCAGCAGCAACAGTTGATCTCATATCCCGCTGTTGCAGCCGTGACCACATCATCGCCGGCAGGATCGCCGCAATCGCTATCGCTATCGCAATCGCACTCGCACCCCAACCCCCATCATGCACCATCCCTACACGGAGGCAGTCGATCGGGCAGCATCACCAGCACGGCCAGCGGAGGCATCACCATCCTGAGTCAGCCGTTCTACCCACAGCAGCAGCAGCAGCAACAGCAGCAGCAGCAACAGCATCGTCACCCAGCTCTGACTGGCGGCAGCAGCAGCATCGATTTTGGGGACATGGCACATGGACTGCGGCAGCATCAGCAGCAGCAGCAGCAACATCTGTACCAGCAGCAGCAACAGCATCACCAGTTTATGCGGTAAGTCAACAAAATAAATGAGCTCACCTTGGCGAACGGCAAGCGGCAATTGACGTCACACATGATGGCAATTACAGCGGATTTTCGGATTTTGGGCTTATGGACAGCAGAAAAAAGCATACGTATTTACAACGCTTTCAGTTCTATAAACAAAAACTAGCACCTTTATGCCAATTTGCTGTTTAAAGGGGTTTAACCTTGCGATTTAACAGACTGAACTACATGATTATAAGATAAGCGAACGTTCTTTTCTAACGTTTTTTTAAATAACGTCCAGTTAGTTTGCTAATATTTTTTTATTGATATGTCACATATCAACGTTTGCCTTGATCCATAAACCTTTAATTTAGGTACATTTGACACAAATCCGATAGCAAAAAGAAAAACTACACGACTCCACCGTTGGGCAATACTTGGAAACCATCAAAGTACTTGGCCAGCGGGATCGCCAGGGAGAAGAGTGTATAGCTCTTTATGAAGGTCCAGCAGAAGTGGTCGTTATAAATGATCGTGAAGACAGAGCGAGCCATTCGCAGCAGCTGAAGTGTTTTTGTTTTCTTCACCATAGCGCCAGAAAACTGTACATAAATTGTGAATTAAAGGAGATTTCGATAGTGCTGGCCAACTGCCTTACAGCTTACCTGATTGTTCGATTCAACGTGATCGAAAATTGTATAGACTTTTGTAAAACAAAAATTCAGATGTGTGTGCTCTCCAAAAAACTGAAACAGAACTGGTCGATTGGCCCAATACGGAAACACTGAAAGCACCAGGTCAACTGGGTGCTCAAATGGCTGACAGCAGTCCGACATGAAATTCTCGCTTACTTGATTGTTTTTTTGGGTTACAAGTGTGATATGTACATATATTTTTTTAAGTCGCCGAATGCAATGCACGTACAAATGCAGTTTGCTCCACTGTGCAGTGGCGATCCGTTGTGTGATTTATGGTGGCAAAAGTTGAGAGGCGGTCAGTCGTCTCTGCTTAAAAGCACATAGATGCATATACATGCATGCATATTGCACATTATTTCACTTTCATTGCCAACAAAAAACCAACGAAAAAATAAGTGAAAACTTAATATTTGAAATTGAAAACGAGAAATGCCTGGCGATCAGGGGGCGGAAAGGCTGCCAATAAAACAGGCAGATGAGAGATGAAAATTGCGCTGAATTGCGATGAACTAAATGACAATAACTAACCGCATAATGAACAGCAACTGGCGGCGCACAATGTGCATAATTAAAAACAATTGTAAACGAACTCTGTGCGAAAGGTTTTTACCCTCGAGGCTGTGGGCTACTCCCTAGAGTTATGTGTGTCTATTGCCCGTTGGAATTTGCATCTGATCTCTGACACTGTGCTCGATTTTTGAGCCATTTTTTTTCATTCCTAACGATTAATTGCAAATTCAATGCTTTGCTAATGTTCCTAGTTATAGATTTTTAGATAGTTGTTATATTTAGGACGCACACAGATGACTCGTCACATTTGCCATCTTTGGAACGTGTAGGCATATGGACATATAGACCGAAGTCGGCAGCCGAATATTGGTCGCCATTGTGGCTACGGCGGGGCCGCTCGGTGATTTCATCCTAGCTTCCCCTTTGGACGGAACCCCGAAACCATTCCAGTGCTCCTTCATCTGGCGTTCCCATTTCGTACATTCCTCACTTCAGTCTCATTTCATTCATCGCCCGACTCGCGCTGGCTTTCCATGCATATTTGTCATTGTTTTGCGTCTGTCTGTTCTGAATGAAATTTATTTTCCATATATTTCCCGCTGCCTGCCTGTCCGTTCGTCCGTCCGTCCGTCCGTCCGTTTGGGGATGTGCAAAAATTATTTATTATTTCGTATTCTATAAAAAGTTCATGTGACGTCAGCGGGTATACAACGTGCATATGTACTTATATGTATGTAGGTAAGGGTCGACCTTTTCAAAGGGTCGATTTTACAACATACGCAAACGGCTATATTCTTTTTTCCTGTTTCAGTTAATGCTTGTGGTAATTATTTATTGATTTTCGTGCCATATTTTTGAGATAGTTATCTTTAAAGTGCTGTGCTGATAAGGAAGTTTAGACCAGAAGGAAAACACATTAGTTAAATTAGATTTGGTGGTACGAAGAGATCCAATGACTTACTGTGTACCCTTCGCTATCTTTCTTTGTTTGCAATTTCTCGTATGCTTTTTGGAAAGTTTGTCACGTCTTTCCCTGGCTTGCTGCATGTGCAATTTTCAAATTACGTGAGTTGGTTGGGGCAAACTTAGACGAACATTTAGAGAACTGTCAGTTAGAATAGATACACACGTCTACTGACCAACTGAAAATATTCCCACAGACGAGTCTTTTAATTGTGAGATAACCTTGGGAATTGATTGATTATTGATTGCGTTTCATGCGCAACGAACATGAAACTATACATGAACATGAACTTGGATTATCACTCCAAATTGTACACCTGAATGTTTCAATTAATTATACCTATTTCTTTCGATTCTCTCGATTCAAAGTTGTTTTTCCAGCTCAAACCGATTCTTTGGTTGAAACATAGATGGTGCTTAGTGCTTGGATATTGATGTAACTTTTCCATACTTGCTGGCCGGTTTTATTGAAGCTTAGGCCTTGCTAAAAAGTTTAACGCGCCAATTTATGCCACCGCATAAATAATTCAAAATTGTTTTAATATTCAAAACGCAATATCAGACATTTTTCAACACCCCCTGCAGTCGCATTGCGTATACGCAGCGTTGCTGCACATGAATATGAATAAAATTAAATCAATTATTATTACTGCACAGTAACCACTACCCATTGACTAATCGCGGGGAAAAACGGAGGGAAAAATAAATAAGTAACCGCATAACTTTATGCACACACAACGAGTGTAAGCGGACACCTCGCAACAATAACAATAAATTTGTTGAGCTGCAAAGCAGCGAATATTTGCCCCATTGTTAAATGATTACGATAAATTTAATTGAATTTTGTATGGCAGCAAAGAATGGGTAGCAAATAATGCCTTCAATTCCCGCAAACTTTAAGTCGTCCCCTGTCCCTTCTGTTTCTCCCGAGCGGATGAGGGATTATTTATCTTTTCGAGATCGAGATGGAAACTGAGACCACTCGGATTGGGTTTGAGTTGATCTGGCTGCCCGGCAGGAGGTGGCTTCATGTAAATTATTGACTACTCCAGGCATTCCGAACATGCCACTGAACTAATTTGCACTACAAGAAAATATTGTGTCTTTGTGTACGCGATATACATACATGCATGCATACATGTGTATGTGCTTTCTTTTGTTTGCATATGAATTTCCCCTCAATTGATTGATTGATTGATCGGCTGTTTGATTGATGGCTGGCGAAAATATGTCATCGGAAATGAAAAACTCATTGCGTGCACAGTGGGTGGTATTTTGTCGGTCAACTCCATGTTGTTGCTTTATTATCACTTGCACCTAATGCCAAATTATTATTATTTTGATTTGAAGTCGCCGAAAATCTATACTTGGTCCCACTGTGCGCTGTACAAATTTAACTACTTTGCTTTGACAATTACGTATACGCCCTGCGTTCGGGTGGACTTCCCCCTTCCGCTCGCTCCCCCTGCTCATCCGCCCACTCGGTAAATAAATAAGCAAGACAAGGTTGCCCGCTGGGAACGAAGAGGGAGATGGAGAGGGGTGGGGGGAGGGCGGTTGGGCGGTGGATTATGGGGTATATATTTGGTCAGTCGGTGACTGATAGCGATATAGTGATTCCCACTCTCTCCCTTTCGCCGATCCTGTGCAAACTGTGGGCAGCTCCCGGCGCCCACTTGCCGCCCCTCGCTTCTTTTTTATTTGTTTATCTATTTATTGGTTACAAAGTACAGTGGGCACTGGCATTGTACTCTAATGGGGTATGGAGTTGTGAAAAAAGTACCCAAATCAAATCATTGTGAATTATGCGGTATAAGTAGATTTTACGTTTTTCAATGACTTGATCAAATCTTTAAGTGTAGGAGTTGAATAATTTTATATATATTTAATAAATTTACAAAATAAATATCGAATTAAAAATAAATTTGTAGTCATTGTTACACTTTGACGACTTTCTGACGACTAGGCGATCTATAGATCGACAGTTCTCTCACAGAGGGATCCCTGTACTGAAATAATAAAAAGGAAATCATGTGAGAGGAGAGCATCGGTCGGTGGGTCGTTCGCCATTCGGTCACTGCCCACTCAATGGGTCTCTTTCAATTGCTGAGCCTCCGCCGCTCTTTAACACAAATTTCATACATGCATACAAAGCCAATTTTTGCTGGGTTTTGTTGTGCCTTCTTTTTTTATTTATTTATTTTAGCTTAGTCGCAGGGACTTTGCGTAGTACTTTAGTTTAGTTGACGATGGCGAGCGGTTCGCGCAGATTTCAGATATTGTGATACGCGGCAAACGAAGTTTTGTAATTTTAATTCACTTACTAGCATATTTCAAGAGCTCCGACTGCCGTACACTGCCAGAAAAATGTATGCGCTACCTTATCAAGGCGATAAGAAGCCGATGCTCATACACATGAAAATGATACGATTCGAGATCGCTCCCAATACCGAAAACAGGTTAATTTGACATTATCAATTTCAATTTTTTTTTGCCTGTGATGTGATACTGATAATGTGATAATGAAATAAAACCAAAACAATTGAGAAACCAAACAAGAAAGCACAATTTGACGAGACCTTGTCCGAAAAAAAGCATGCACATTAGATCAAGAGTTCAAGTGCTTTCAATCAAAGGTCCGAACACGACTCCCCTGCTGAAAACAATTACAAACAAAGACCATAATGAACGTGCCTCGTCTTCAGTTGCAAACCTCACCTTTGGAAAGGGTTAAATGAAACCCAGTTATCACCAAGGAAGTGGTTCAGATCGGTTGTTCCACAAGCCAGTCGCTCTGTTCGAAAATCGGCTTAGAAATCGCTTGGTGGAAATGTACAACAGACTATGACTGAACTTCTAACAAGTAAATAAGTTATTTACATTCATAGCAGCTTTGTAATGAGAATAGCTCCGCAGTTAAACTTTTTCCACGAGGGTCTTAAAATCACACAAACCTCTTCAATTGTGCAAAAAAAAAACCCTTGGAAATAAACTACTCGACAAAGAAATTTGCTATATTCAACGATTTGAATTTCTAAACAATTTTTGTTTGCTGGAAAGAGGGGAAAATTGTGGAACTTGCGGAAATTAAACACCGCGAGAAAAGCCGAGTTTGTTAGTGGGTGTGTTTTCTTTGCATGTGCGCTGGCTCCCTGTGGCTTCTGCCGCTTATCAAATATGTCAACAACTTTTTATTTACGACTTGTTAATTGCAAAGAGTCGCAAGAGTTGGCAAAACGCAAATCAGGCAACTGAAAATAATACGAAATATGCCCACAGTGCAGACAATAAAAGCGCGAAATTCCACACGCCGAAGGGGAGAGAGCTTATAGTTATACGACTTTTATATACTTGTATATATGTATGTATATATGTGTGTGTTTATGCCCCCTATAGATACAGATACTGCTAATTCGCTGGCCGCCCTTATCGATATGCACCATTATGGGGTATATTATGTGTGTGTATGTGGCGTGATAAGGGCTTTAGTGGGTGTGGGTGTGAGGGGGCCTTGTATCGAATCGAATTAAATCGAACTGTATTGAATGCGAGCCTCACTTGTGTAACAGCTTTTCTGCATTACGCACCCGTTATTCCCGTAGGAAAGGGGTGTGCTAGGTTCTTTGAAGA